TTTTTTTGTCTTTTGTCTTTTTCCGTGTCCGGCAACGGATCGCAACCCTCAGTGTTGCCCCCGTACCGGACCGGGGACCGGCAACGGGATTGCAACCCTCGGTGTTGCTCCCGCACCTCGCTCAGCCAGTGAGCGGGAACCGGTCTGTATGTGGGATCCGAACCCTCGGGCGGGAGTGCCGCCGCGCCTCTCAGGCGGCGCACTTATCCAGTGCGCCACCGGGCCGGCCCTGAATATAGACTCTTGATCTAACAACAAAGGTGCTATCACCTAGTGGAATTTAGCATCCTCTAGTAAAGTTATGGTGGATTTTTTTTTTTGGTAACAACTTTATTGAGATATAATTAACATACCATATAATTCACTTGTTTAAAGTGTGAAACTCAGTGGTTTTTAATATATTCAGAGCTGTGCAACAATCACAATTAATTTCAGAACTCCTTTTGTCCTCCTATAAAGGAACCTTGTACCCACTAGTTGTCACTCCTTACTTCCTCCTCTCTGAGCTCTAGGGAGCCACTTACCTACTTTCTATCACTATGGGTTGTCTGTTCTGGACATTTCATATAAAAGGAATCCTAAAATATGTATGTAAGTTGCCTTTTATGACTGGTTTCTTTCTCTTAGGTCATCCATGTTGTAGCGTGTGTCGATACTTCATTCTTTTTTATAGCTGAGTAATATTCCATTGTATGAATATACTGAACTTTGTCTATCCATTCATCAGTGATGGACATTCGAAGGGCTTTTTTGGGAGTAATTTCACCAAGATGGAATTCCCATGTGCAGAGTGTTTTGAATCCACAGGATTTGATCTAATTCTTTAGGAAATCGACTGAGTAAAGCATGCAGGTTAACTCTTGGAGGTTAAGCATTAACCTTTTCTTAAAAGGGCTTTCAAAAATTATGAAGCATTTAAGAAAAATTACTCATGTTTTCTGTTGCCATCCCATCAATATTTAGCTGTGTTATCTTCACTGTCCCCTTACCTTCACTCTTCTTAACATAGTAACACCATTGCTGCCACAGAGTGGATAAAACCAGGGACTTGGCTCTAGCTGTATGGCTTTGTGTGGACTGCTTGGTCTTTCTGAGCTTTATTTCCCTTTTCCAGAAAGTAGAGAGAATAATGCTGCGCTCCTTTCTCTGTG